GCGGACCCTGCGGGCCCAACTCGTCACCCAGTCGGCCTCCGCCGGCCCAGCTCCTGCCTCTCCGCGGCCTCTCCAGCTGCCAGACTTCCTCAGGTCAGCCTCTCCAGGCCCAGCTCCTCCTGCCTGCCACTGGTCTCTTGAGGCCCAGCCCTGCTCACGCCTCTGGGCGGCCTCCTCAGGCCCAAGACTTGACCTCCAGTCGGCCTCGCCAGGCCCAGCCTCCTGCCTCCCGAAGGCCTGCACAGGCCCAGCCTCTGCCTCCTAGCGGACTCTCCACGTCCAGCTCTTGCCTGACTGTGGCCTCTCCAGGCCAGAGCTCCTCCTTCCTTTCGGCAGCTGCGCCGGCCCCCGCTCCTGCCTTCCAGTGGCCTCACTCGGCCCCGCTCATTCGTCATGGGTAACGACGTTTCCAGTCCCAGCCTTTGCCTTTTGGTGGCCTCTCCAGGTCCAGACGTTTTTTAGCCGGCCTGTCCGGACCCAGTTGCTGCATCTCATCATCCGCTTCCTGCCCAGGTCTTCCTCCCAGTTTTGGCTGCTGCTTAAATTTTTCCTCACGACAATCTGTTTGGACAAAACTCCTGTCCAGCTCCTCGTGGCCATATACACTGAGAAATTTCTCAAGTCCAGCTCTCCAGTTTCACTACTTTCCTTGTGGCAACATAAGCTGTCACAGCTTTTACCTGACTATATCTTCTCCAGACTGCCTTAGCAGCCTCACATTGGTGTTTCTAGGCTCAAATGCTGTATTTGAGCCAAATGCTCAAATCTCTTTCCTTGTGCCTGCCTCCCAAGCCCCAGCTCCTGTCTTATTGTGTTGTGTGTTATACTAGCTTCTGTCTCACGATGGCCTCTTCTGGCCCACCTTCGGCATTATAGTGGACAGTCCAGCCCATCCTCTGCCTCTTCCTGGCCTTTTCTCCCTTTCCTCTTGCCCCACAGTCACCTCTTCTGGATCCATCTTTTTAATCTTTGGTGTTCAAGAGTATGAAGGAGCCTAAAGCTTCCCTGGACTCTTATTTATTGGTAAATTTAAAGCAGAGTGCCTTAGCAAAACACCTGCCTCTTCTTTTAACCTTGACAATGGATTTGTGACAAATTTATAATAAATCCTACCTGTGTGGTTTCATACCGATTTTTGTTTTATTTAGTGTCTCATCATTTGACTTTTCTTTTTTTGGGTGGGAATGGGAATGAGCCTCTACTTGGGCCCTTTTTCTTCACTCTG